AGAGAGAGAGAGAGAGAGAGAGAGAGAGAGAGAGAGAGAGAGAGAGAGAGAGAGAGCGAGCGGGTATTTATCTGTGCATTCGAGTCTCTTGACAATTCAAGCTTCAAAAAAGGTGGAGGATGCTTTCCTGTCGAGAATATTTTGGATAATTATCCATCATCGACAATTTTTGAAGACAATGCATGCATGTTATTCTAAACTGATATTAGGCAGACCATCAACACTACACTTGTATGTTTGAGAGACTTTATACAGGCACATCAGCATTCGGAAATGGAATCAACAAACATCTTGCATTCACTAGAATCATATTTTTTTCCCTTTCACACCTATCTATATAAAGAGGAGAAGACATTTTCCTATTTCTATTGAGTTTTGGAGGGGAGGACGGTGGAAGGATTAGGGCGATTGATTTAGAAACGATATAGATAAATGAAGGATTTCGTAATACCTTATCCAAGAACACTTAATGCCATGCAACTCCTGGTGCACTTGCACTAGCTTGAGCCTCAGTTAGCGATACAGCCATGGCTAGCATCATCTGCTCCTCGTAGCTCTCGGGAACTATGGGCCCCACAACGGGTTGGAAGGTGCAGTCATTTTCATCAACTTGGTGGAGTGCAACAGGCCTTCTTGCGTCATTCAATTCATGAGAACCCACGTAGCTAGTTCCAACTTCAGCCACCTCAGATCTATTTTCTTCGCATTCTCCAGCATCCTGGGTCATTGCCAGCTGGATATCGAGTGATTCCACAATGGCACTCTCTGCAGGAAAATAATTTTCAGATTCTTGCTCTCCCCTATTAGAAAACCTGCTACATCCAGGCATCATGCTATTCCCATGCATGTTCCCACCATAGTTATTGGACTCTCCACTCAGTTGTTGACGCTCAGCAAGGGATGCAATGGCACATGCAAGACCACCAGAAGGAGATGATAATCCAGCTACCGGGGCTATCATTGCCGAGGTGCGACAATCGTCTACCATATATTCTTCTGATGAAGCTGCGTCACTATAGGTCAAATTTTGGGGTTGGCCAGTTTCCTATCACCACCACATTTGTAGAATAGACTAGTATAGGTCATTTACATCACCAAAAGTCGGAGGAGAATTAAAGATCAACCTAGACAACAATCTTGTAAAACAATACAAATATAAATATTGAGCAGAACTTGTACTAATGTTCCAACACAGGTCTGAAAGTATAAGCAGAAAAAGATTGTCATCTAGAAAACAGAAAAAAAAAAGTATAAGCCTATCCTAAACCCAAAAGATACTCCTAATATCTTTTATTGCTTACACTTGGTATTGAAAAATATATGTTGGTCCTGCTTGCTACACAAAGAATCAAACAATGAAGATTCATGGTGAGATTATATGCTAATTGTAGGTTCTAAACTGCAAATATGTCAATGTTTCTTCCAATTTTTTCTTGATGAATTAAGCATCGTCTCAACATGTTTAATTCTATAATCTTTTGCTTGATTTTGGGGTATAGTAGGCGTCTCGTTATCACTGTACAATTTCATAGGTCTAAAAAACTCACAAATACCTCAACCTACGAGTCTCTGCAGCAGAACTGCTCTTAGAATCCAGAAATGTGTTCTAGTTCTACATGTTACCAAACCTGCAGTCATAAATTGCTAAGTTGAGTTGAGCTTTTTCGACCAACCCAATCAACTTTAGTATAGCTTCAACTGGTAGATGATCGCCTCTTTTAAACATTTGACCCCTTTCTTGGAGTTACTTCAAAGTATCTAATAAACTTGAAAATAGAATAAAAGGACAAGACATTACAAGCTTATCCTAAACACAAAAGGCAGACTCCTAAAAGTCTGGTGCACCAGAGATGACTAGGATTTAGAAAGATCTTCTATTTCTCCATGGTTTGGGATTATATTCAAGAGGTAAACACATTGGTGCCCTAATTTGAATACAAACAAAAATTTGTTCAAAACATGCAACTTAGAGATAGCATACAGTTCATTATTCATTTTGCAATCTTTTTACTTCATATTTATTATTTAGACATGCAGATCCAAGATTAACAAAATCAAAGAGATTACCCAATATAGGTTTCTTGATGGCTAAAAGGCAACAAATTTTCTCACACTACTGATGAGATAAAAGTTAATTGGTCATATAAGTACCTGAATAGACTGCCAAATGGCTTCCATAACCATTATTTCCTCCAGATCCAGGTCAAATTCATCCTCCCTGCATTTGGTAAGAATGTAAGCAATTGAGAAGGACATGGCATCCAAATTATCTACTAAGATCACAGGAACAGCTCTTGCTAATCCACCAATTAGCTGATACAAAAACACTGACAAAAAATGAAAATTTCCTATAATATGAGTGCAATACAATATGATAATGGAATAGTGATTTGTGGAGGATGTACAGTAAAAACTCTGATACTCGGACTCTTCGAAATAGTTGGAGTACCCGTGTTGGACACGACACGACATGACATGGGTATGAGATATGTGTCGAATCTTCCAAATTTCAATCGAACACTTAGTCGTTTTTGCTTCTTCTTCCTGCTTTTTCTTCTTTTTTTTTCCTTTTCTTTTTCTTTCCATTTTCTTCTTTCCTATTTTTGCTCTCTATAAACCTATTGTCGTCTTCGAGAGGGTGGAAAAAAGTGGTAGCGCTAGGTTTTACCTTGATTTTCTTCTTTCTTTTTTCTTTCCATTTTCTTCCTTTTTTTCCTCCTTTCTCTCTTTGTATCGGTGGTTTAGAGTTTTTTTTTGTATAAAATGAAAATGAGTTCCATATAATGCTGCTTAGTGCTCCACTAAGTCAAATTATAATAAAATTCCTCATTTTCTATTTTATATAACATTTAGTAATTCTCATAATTGAAAACTAAACCCCAAAATTCTATTTTATTCGTCTTAACCTCTTATTAAATACATATTTCCTTCGTTATGAATAATTAATTTTTGTCTATTCAAAATGATATCCTAGATTAGTAAAAAAAATTGAAATTTGAAATACGTACCCTTATCTGAAATTTGGATTCTTTTTAACCATGTAATCGTATCCTACATTTTAAAAAATAAAAGATCCGGCACTTAGATACGTACCTGATACCCGTACCCGAGTCCGAGCATCATAGGATAAAAAAATAAGGAAATGTTTTGAATTTATGTGTAACATTATTTTACGGGATAATGTGTAATTGAAAATGAGTTTTGGAAAAATACTTTTTTGGAAAATTGAGTCCAAACAGAGACATAATTTATAGCAAGAATATTCGTCAACCAAAATTGTTGGAACAACAAAGAATCTGCTTAAAGAATGATGCAAAGCAAAATGAATCCTCAATGTAAGGCTTATTCATACATTGCATGATTAATTAACACCTTTTGTTTGCTGGACTCAAATTATATTGTGCCTCTTATATCAAAAACAAAGTATCTATAATTAGACTAGGCTTTGGTATCGTCAGCAAAGAAGAACATTGTGTCACGACATCACAATTTTTTTAAGCATATATAAAATGCATATATACATGGTGCTCTAATAATTAATTTTCAGCACATTACTGTAAATTATGAACTTTCCTGTAAATTAGCTTTCATTTCATGCCCTAAGATGTTGATTATGATGGCAAAATTAATCGCTATAAGTAAAAATTAATTATTAAACGAGAACTTCTCCATGTTCTAATATATTTACAAGTTAAAAGTGTGTGTATATGCATATGCATATGTTTGATGTGTGGGTATTTGCATGTTGTTGACTTAATAAATAAATGTAAAAGGACAACAGTTACCCATTTTATTGAACATATAATGTCCAAGACATATTAATACACTACAGTTACTTTATAATTTTGATGTATGAACAAATGAAAAAAAATTATAATTAGAGAACATGCAAATCTGCATTTGGCCCAATCTATCATAAGCCTTAATATTCTAAGGACTTTGCTTCATGTACACCATGCTATACACCCCCCTCACATAGAGGGAGGACCGCAAATTTTTTATTAATGGTGGGCCCCCTCACATGTGAGGGGGATGTATGGCATGGTGTACAACTATCATTATCCATATTCTAATCCCTCACCTAGGAGTTGAAAATTGGAACAAAGGATTCATAGAATGATTTTATAGTCTAGATTAGAAATAAATGGCATGGTTACCAATTACCATTCCCATTGACAAAGGAAAGATCAGAGGGAAAAGGTAAATTTTGAATTTGATGTCACCAGTGATTCAATTCCTCGTAAACAAAACACGCGTAATAATATACCAACAATTCTAGCAAATATAAAAGTTGAACTAATTCGAACATCATTCAGGTTACAAACATGATATCTTCTCTACAACATCTTCAGTTTTGTGATGTACTTCCCTTTCTCAGTTGACAAACAGAAATGAACTCTGTATGTTAAAACGAATCAGAAACAACATTAATATTAACATAGTGGATCGACGGGGTTGGACCAACCCGGATCTGATCCAATCCATTTGAACCCATATGTAAACAGAAGGATCAGTTACAACCCATTGTCCGATATAACCCAAATTTCAACCCAAAACCAACTCAACCCACTCCTTTGCCAGCTCTACCTCAATATACATGTGGTGGAGGTCAGCAAACAAAAATAAATAATAAAACAACATATTCGCAACTAATACTGGAAAACTTGACTATTTCATGTTCGACTTCACCCTTGCTGTTACAGTTGATTTGATTATTTTACGATTAGCATGTAAGAATAATATACAAGAATCAGCTCTAAGAATTCTAGGAAAGCTACTACAAATACCAAATAGTTTCTTCATATCAAAATTTTTTTTTAAGAACAATTAAAAAACGGCTAAAGAATTTCTTTAAAATTCACATTTTGGAACTTTTATGATTCTAGCCAGTTGTCTAAAATCAAAACATCATTGTTTCAACTACAAATCCCACACAACAGAAAGGTAAATGAATCAAGTGGTAAAATGATATCAATGAAGTAAGCATATAAGAAATTACAAAGCAAAGAAAATTGTCTACCTATTTTGCCTCAGGCGTGGAGTTGGTCTTATTGCTGAAGCAGTACATAACTCCTGAGAGAGAACAATTTCCTCACCTTCTACAGCAGAACTAAAGGATTGGGCTGCAGATGGAAAAGAGAATAAGTGAAGTACTCATATTCAGAGCAGGTGGACCTACAGTGGGAAACTTAGGCTCATATCTGATACCTGGTGCGGAGCAATAATCAACTTCACTAGGTCCTCTGATACTGCCGGAGGATCTGAGTTGTTTTCGTTTCAGCATCCTTTCCTCTTCATCTAGAATTTCTTGCTGCCTCATCCTTATTTTGGCTTCTATAAGTCGTTGTTCTTCCTATAAGCTCAAGTCATGAGAACAAAATGCAATGCAGCAAGACTGCCATCTGAAACCTCAAAAAAGGAAGTTAAATGAGCTAAAAAGAACAATAAGCCTTACAATTTGCTCCAAACCTTTCTCCTCCTTTGTCTTCACACCTCGATACTCCACAGCATAATTTGAGGTTTTACAGAAGGGGCACCTTTGACGGCTAAGGATAGCACAAACGCGAAAGCAAGGCAGACAGAATATAGATGTAAACATGCAAAGAGACGCACATGTACATGCATAATCATCTTGCACTTTTGATTTCTCCTCTTGATATAACTCATGAGTCAGACTTTATGCCTCCCACAAGTTTGGGTAGGAGCCAAACAACTTCTACTTAGACTTACAAGGATTTCGTATAAAAAAAGAAGACACAAACGAACGAACTTCTTGAACAAAACAATGTATAAAGTAAACTGATAAAAATTGAGGATACTGAGTTGGCCGGGTAGAATTAGGTGTCTTCATCTGCAAAAAGCATTCTGCCATGGAAACAAATAAAAGAAACCTAAACATTTGAACCAAAAAGTTCAAGGCTTTCATTATTTAGAATGACTACAGATTTATAGCTAAATACATATACTAAATCCACTAACCATATACCTGTACAAATGCCTTTCATGCAACATCTCGACCGATTCAGACTTGGATAATACTGAAAACATCCAGAATAACAAAAATACTGAAAGGGTTTGAACGAAAATATTCCAAGGGTGTCAACAGGTTAAAAAATTATCCAGTACATGTGGTGAACTCTCAAAATGCTCCATTCCTATCTCATAATTTTCCTTTTCCTACTGTGAAAAACAGATAAACAGAGCCAACCATCAATTTTGATACAAGTGAAAAGCTGAACTAACATAATTCAATTAATGTTCCACTCCGAAACACAAGCAAACGTAAAAACACATTCCAATTTCTTCTTGAGAATAATTAGTACTTAACCATAATTTCGAAAAACGGTACAGTTTTATTTTCTTTCCAACTATTTAACTAATTCGCCAAAAAGAATATATAACTAAGCACGTGAATCGACAACTTTTTTCATGAACCAACTTTTACATTTAGACAAGAAAATTATATCAACTACATAGTAAAGGTTGGAAAAGTAGAAACTTGAAGGCAGAGACAGGAAACGGACCAAGAAGCAAATAGGGCATTCTTCAAGATCACTGCCACATTCATCATCACCAGGGTAACAAGGTGCCAGCTTGGAGTCCAGAATGAGCTTCCTTAGCTTCTTGTGGTCCACATCTTTGTGCTGATACAACCCTTGAGGCCTAGTGTACTTCTCATCCACCACTTGTCTCCTATTCCCCAATTTATTCCCCATATCCACTAACCAATTTATTTTTTCCTTTACAGAAACAGCCTTCACAAAAATAACAAGATTTCACTAGAAAAACAAAACGTGTTTTTCACTGTCGCTGAATGAGGATGCCCAAAATTTGCAGCAGAAACATCCGGCATAAACGAAGAAACAAAAATAAAATTCATCAATTTTTAGAAAAACAAAGGTGGAACAGTGCCCGAATGATAAAAATCAATTGGGTAAGCTTCTTTTTACTTGGAGCTTATAAATCTTGGGAAAAATACTGGGAGGAGTTTGAGAGGGAGACAAAACAGTGGATTCAGTGTGTGAAGGGAAGGGATTGTAGGATTGGACAGCGACTTTATGGCCCTGTTTAACACGCCTTATTTTCCGGTAAAATGGAAAATGAATTCCTTTTTCCACTTTTTAACATGTTTGATAGGCTTAATTTTCCGGGTAAAACATTTTCCTTATTCTACCTCACGCGCCTGATTTTCCACCGAATTAATGAAAAGGCTTTCCCCTCCTTCAGCTGGATTTTCATTTTCCACCCAAGGTGGAAAATCACGAAAACTTTCGACGTTGATCTCTGGAGGGCGATGGGGAAGAAAGTAATCTGGATGGTGATGGGGTCTTCCACCACGGCGACAGCGAGAGTACCCACCCGTGGAGACCCAGATTTTTCGGCGTTGATCTTTGGTTTTTTCTTTGGCCTTTTAGAATCTTGACATCACTCCCCTTCTCCATAGTAGGGCGTTTTGCGGCGACGGAATTGGTCGAAGATGTGGGTCCGGAATCACTCGGAGGCAGGTAGAGGACAAATTGGGTTTCTTAGGTGCGGGTGCAGTAAAGGGGTTTTTGGCAATTGGAGGTTGGGGTTCCTCCTGTTCAGAGTCGGATTCGGAGGAACCGATTTCTTCAGATGAAGCGTTTCTTCAGTGCCGGACTGTGGGGGATTCCAGAGGTGGGATTTTTGGCTGGGGGAGTTGGGCTTGCAGGTGGTGGAGAAGAGTTGGCTGGGGGAGGAGGGCTTGCAGGTGGTGGAGGAGAGTTGGCTGGGGGAGTTGGCTGCAGGTGGTGGAGGAG